TTATGGAAGGATCAAAGTTCATAGAGAGGAGAATGTGAGCACAAAGACATAAACGCTATGCAAATTTCTTTGAGTCGTGAAATAGGAGATTTGCGTGACCTAATTGTAAATGAATGTAGGGATATGAAAAAAGAAAACAAAGTACTAAGAAAAAAATGTTTTGTTCTCATTATTGTAATTGTTTTACTTGTAGCAAAATTGTTGGTTTGAGTTGTAATGAACGAAAAATGCTTGCCTTTGGGCTCTTGTATGTTGTTTCTTGGGATGAATGTAAACTGCCAATGTATTCAATGAATGTAAAATGCATGCCTTTGGTCTCTTGTAAGTTGTTTCCTGAAATGAATGTAAACTGCCAATGTGTCAATGTATTCAATGAATGGAAAATTGTAAACTGCATTATCAAAGTCATATTCAATGAATGGAAAATTGTCAATTTGAGTGAAAAACTAGCAACCACAAAAATAATTAGACAAAGTAGTTTTGGACCAACTCATGAATCAATTTTTGAATGTTATTCCCAATATCCCCCACAGATTCAAACAAGTGTGAAGGAAGTAGATGTCTGAGCGGAAGTGAGCGCTGACCTTAATGCCAGTGGTTTAGACCTTGAACTGACACGTAGTGACTTGAGTAACTTTCTCCTTAGTAGTTAATTGAATCTTGAACTAGCCAAGGAGAGGTAGTTTTGAACTCATGTGAGCACATCAGCACCCATTATGCAGGTTCTTCGGAAGTCAAACTTTTTGACTTGAGGTCTACCTCTGTGTAGACCTTAACTTAGAACATCTCATGTTCAGTTGCTTTATGAGTACGTAAACTTGGCTTACTTTTTTGGTTTTAAGCTCATTTTCTTCGATGTATCGAGGACGGCCTTTCTATTTAGTCCTTTAGCGAAAGGATCTGCAATATTCTTCTCGGGCTCCATATACTCTAATGTGAGTGCTCCAGTCGTAATCAACTGTCTTACAGACTCATGTATGACCCTTATGTGTCTTCTTTGTGAGTTACAGTGTATGGGCATAGACGGTGTAGCACACCCCCACTATGGCACGTCTGCCAGTAGGTCTCTCAGCCACTCGGTTTTTTGCCCAACTAGATCAAGAGGTATAAATTCATTCTCCATTGTTGATCTAGCATATACAAGTCTGTTATGTCTATCTTAATATAGACTTCCACCCTGTCAAAGTCTATCTCACCATAGACTTTTAACTCTGACAACTCTAATCGCATTATAGTTTTTTATGTCTTGTCAAGTCCATCTCAATATAGACTTTTAACTCTATCAAGTCTATCTCAGTATATACCACCTTTAAAGCCTTATAGAGTAGTTAATGACATAAATCAGTTGTAAGTCTTTTCTTTCTATCATATAGGCATTGTTCTTTGCAATGCAAACGACAGTTTGTGAATCACAATGTATATGTAGTGAAGGTGTTAGCTAGATACCTCCACAACTCCATGTTTACCAACATATTTCTTAGTCACTCCGCTTCTTGGGATAACCTCATTATCTTTCATAAGAGACGGTTAGCCCTTTTCTACTCAAGTTAGAGATCTCTTTAGGTCTACCTCAACATAGACCATCCCAATTGAGTATAAGTCACCAAGAGCATTTTGTACTCATGTCATTATGCGGTGAATTCATTAGGTTTGTCTCAACAAAACCACCATTTCTCAAAGAGTTATGAATTTATTAAGAGCTGTAGCTCAACCTCACAAGTACACACACTGTCGGAATGACCAACTAGTGTACTACTTTGTAACTCTTTTCATGGCTTCGTTTGACCACAGAAGTGGGATCCAGCACGAATTCATTACCACTTGGACTTTAAGTCCTTCCAATGAGTTAGCGACTAATCCTCATAATTAGCCCTCAAGTAAGTTGATTCTCTTGACCAAACTTACATGCACTTTGACGAGTACTTCGTTTACTCGCAAATAATCCCTTGAGATTTTATGTTTAACATGAAACATTCTCTTTCATCATTATTCTCAATACCACAGAGAAACTTTTGATGAAAATATAAGGAGTTTATTACCCCCACAATGCAACACTTACAAATATTTTTTTGTCAAATGTATTTGGTCTCTTACCCAGACTGATCTTTGGTGCCCAACATTAGCTCCTTTGTAGACTGAGTTTTGCCGATTTGCTTTGTGGAGCATTATAGAAGCTTCGCACTCTGCCTGATACATGTTCAACAGTTGAATATATCTCAACAAACTTAGTTATCTTAATTGATCACAATTACCCTTTAACTAGGAATTATAGGTATTTCAATATGACTCAACCAAGAGTTTAAATAATATATATATACAAATGTTCATTGTTAGTAAGCCATAGAAATAATGTTGTCCACATGCTACATCAAGTTGAACAACACAATCACAAATTTCACATCATATTCTTATAAGAAATTAATCTTATACACAAGGAATATGTTCGAGCTCATATTTATTCGAAAATATCTCTCAACAATGAGACTTCAGAGTTGCCACTTGCACAATTTTTCATTCCCTTGAGGAAATTAAAACTCATATAAAGCATTCATAGGATGCAGATCAATATTACTATTGCAGTACTTCAACAATTTCTATTGCAAGGATTTGATTAACAACATATGAAAGTCAACCTCATTTCAGGTGAAGATCAAGTGTCGCTCTAACTAGCCTGCATGATCAACACCCTACTTCTTAAAACTCACAGGTCGAGTGGTGAAACCGAAGTTTTCTTAAAAACCATCTTCCTAGACAGAGTATTCAAGAACAATGACTTTTTCATGCTACCACCATAAATGTGAGTAAAGCCTTTGAAATTAAACTCAGTACACAATTTAAATATTTAAGATCATGTGACTGTAATATAGTATGTATCTCATCAAATAGTGCAATGTTTGTAACATATCCACAATAATAACACATAATGTTGTAAATTGACATGTGCATAAGTACACAATTTATAGGCTTTATATCATATTGATGATTTAATCACTTAGCAGTAGTGTTAAATCAACACTTCTAACACAACAAATTCATAAAGCTCATACATGTGAATAATAGCAATTCACTTATCTTTGCGTACACCGCTGTTAATTTTCTATATAATATTCAAAGCACTCACCATACAAAATATGGAATGGTGATTTCTAAAATGTTTGTCACAATATATATTTCACGTTTCACATGCTCTCAAAAGATAATAATCAATCGGATGCAAAGATATAGGCAAACCACCTTCTAAATTATGTCATTATGATAGTTTTAAGGGAACATGGTCAATGCCATGATATATGACTACTAATGCTCAAGATAATCATTAGCATATGATAGTCTATTATCATATAAGTATACATGAATGATGACTCTTCAAGTCCATGCTACAAACAAGTTGCATTAGAGCCTTTGATATATGCTTATTATATCTTTATACAAATAATTTTAGTACATGATTCAAATCTTTAAAAATCATGTGACAATAATATATAATTATATATGCATCTCATATTCAATTTGAAGGAACAAATAGTCCCCACTAATAAATTAATCATGCATCACTTAAATTTATGTTCCTCAGTTATCTAACATATAATCACTTTTGATCTCATTTTGCGAAGAACATCATATATAACATTTTCGTACAACTCTAAATCCAAGAAACACATGCCTACACATAGAAATAACAATATGCATGAATATTGATCATCAAGATTAACCATTTATATCTTGGATGTTAAGAGTGAGAGGACATATTTAAGTAATATAATGATCTTGATATTTCAATTCTTCAAGTTCAATATGCTATAAAAGATAATTATGTGATATGTCATCATCATAAGTATAACTGCTTGCACTTTAAATCCAAGAGCACAAAATTTTAAAAAGACTAAGTCATAATATATACAGAATATTAATAATTTTGTATGCTGAAAAGCATGTAGCTAATTATCTCTTAGTTATGTCAATCCTCATGTTGTGCACACTGAAGAGAACGAACCAAAAGATGAAATATAATGTGGTGATGACGCATGAAAGTATTTCTAACACCCATTAAATGAATTATCACATACACATGTATTAAAGAAATAATACTTAGCTCAGAGTTCGACAGACTTGAAGTGGATCATCATCTTAATCGCCCACCGGCGGTAGTTCAGACCGGTGAGAGGTTCGAGCTTGGCGAGGTCAGAGGAGGGCTTCGTTGCCATTGACGATATTTTCATGAGAATAATTTGCTTTTAACTGTTGGAGTTTAGTACCGGAAAATGTCGCAGTAGCACTGCTTTTTATATTGGCTAATTTGGGAAAAGTAAGGGAATCCTGTGTCGTGTGAATACACTACCTTAAAAGCAAATTGCCGGGGTAACCGAGTGCTTTCGACTGGTTGCACACAGACTTTCTACGAGATACCGACACAGGTATTCACAGTCACAGTAGGACCCGACTTAGAGCTCAGACATGAGGCTTAGAGAGAATAGAAGAAGAGAAGAATGAATTGTTGTGTGTTTTAATGAATAAGGGAAGTGCCCCTTATATACTAACATAGGCTTCTCTTCTCAACCATCCAAATCCAAAACTAGCGCTGGACCACTCATTCTAATCAAATGAGATTCACTCATTTGAGTGAAAAACTAGCAACCACAAAAATAATTAGACAAAGTAGTTTTGGACCAACTCATGAATCAATTTTTGAATGTTATTCCCAACAAATATTACTGCCAACTGCAGACTCTGCTAGAGCATCCTCATGAAATTTATAACCTGTCAAATCCTTTACTTCTCTAACTAACATATCACACAACATGCCATAATCAAAACCTGCCAAGTAAATAACTAACACATTACAGACCAATGAATGCAGGTAAATTATATATAGACATTCACATAATCAAAACCTGCAAATGTATTGTTCATTCACAACCTTCCAATGATTTGTTCATCCAAAAAAAAAAAAATCATACATAGACATTTGTTCATCAACTAGCTAGTGAAAGACAAAAGAAGTGAATACATAAACACTAGTTAGTAATATACAAAAACACAAAAATAAGTGACTTCATCAATCTTCATTTGCAAGCATGGTTCCATTGAGCTTCACTTTGTGCAAGCTACATAAATAAAGGAATCAATTTCAATTAATCAAGCTGGATTACAACCATCTTCATGAATAATTATATTCAATTAATTTACCTGACATTCCAACTAAGCTTTCCTGCGACAAGTCTATTCCTCTTTCACTTCCTCTCCCTCTCCCTCGTCCTCTTCCTCTCTCTCGTCCTCTCCCCCTTACAGCAGTAGTTGGTCTTCCTCTTCCTCTAACAGCAAAAGAATTGGTAGATTCTTCTTGTTGGCTTGATAGTGTAGGACAAAATCGTTTATTATGTCCTTTACCCTTGCATAGTTGACATGTCATAAGTCTTCCTTTTCTTGACAATTTCTTAACCTCTGAACTGATTTTTTGCTTCTGTTTTTCATTGTCTTCAAGCTTTCTTTTCTTTTTTGGCCTACCAGTCATCTTCCTTGGAATAGAAGCATGTATCTCATCACCTTCAGTGATTGGCCAAAAAATTTCTCCATTCGGTGGCTGGATTACATGCTCATAAGTCTTCAAGTAAAGCTCCTTACTATAGCATTCATGTATGTACTCTTCAGGCTGATGTCCTTTGTGAAATATGGCGCAAATGCCATGACGACATGGGATACCAGTCAATTACTAAAGCCTACAAGAACAAGTCATCAATTGTAAATTTACTTTGAATTGAAATCTGCCTTTTTTTTATCTCATACCCCTCTACTCCATTGAATGCCACATCCCAACCTGCACTCCAAGTATGCTTCCATTCAGCTTCTTCATCACCAATGAGCCATAATTCCCTCTCCAATTTTCAGCCAATGTTTTTTTATTTGCAACCCTCTTCATTGTTGACATAATCCCATTGTTTTCTAATCCAATTTCAGTATCTTAATTTATTTTGCTTTGTTATTGTGTCATATCAATTGTAGGGATTATCCAATGTCGGGAGTTCAACATAGAAATTGTGCTAGGCATGTGCATGCCAATTGGAGCAAGAGTCACCAGGGAAGGTTTTGAAGGGCCATTTCTGGCAGATTGTAAAGACACCAAATGAAGCACAACTTGTTGAAAATTTGAAGGCTTTAGAGAAGATAAATGTTGTTGTTCGTGTTGATCTTGACAAATATCCTATGCAATTCTGGTGCAAGGCTTACTTCAAGGAAGATGTCAAGTGTGACATGGTAGATAACAACCTTAGTGAGGCATTCAACAGAACTTTGTTGAGTGCAAGATCAAAGTTTATAATCCCATTGTTTGAGGATATAGTATTTGGAGGCATAATTAATGCACTGCCAGTAATTGGAGCTAATCAATTGAGAAAATAAATACAAACAAATTGAGATAATGAAATTGGATTATTTTCCTTTTGTTGATAACTCATTAGTGTCCATTCACTGTTGTCCACAATGTCCAAGTGTGTCTTTAGAAGCTCCAAAAACCATCTCCATGAAGAACTATTTTCAATCTCAACTACAGCCCAAGCAATTGGGTACATCTGATTATTTCCATCCCTACCAACAGTTGTGAGGATTTCACCCTTCAATTTGCCCTTCAAGAAGCATCCATCAAGTCCAATAAACTTCCTACACCCCACTAAGAATATCCCTTTTTAATGCCATTAAAGCATACATAAATCCTCTCAAACACCAAGGGTGAAGTAGGAACAGTTCTTGTAGTTTTTATCTTGACAGTAGAACCAGGATTTGAACTTAGACACTCTTGAGCATAATCTCTAGGGGCCGTTTACTAACTGGAAATTTCTGGGAATTTCCGGAAACTGGAAAACAGAAAACAAAAAACATGTTTACTAACACAGTTTCCATTTTCAAAACTGAAAATGATTTCTGAAAATTTTTGGAAAACTAAAACACACTTAAAAACTGTTTTCAAAATAGAAAACAGAATCATCTATCATCTATTTAGTTATATGTCACTATAACCACATTACTATGATTACATTCATTATCATCTTATTTTACTTATCACTATTTTATATCTTTTCTACTTACTTTAGTTATTTAAACATAATTTATTTGCTTACACTTTAAAGTTAGACATTATTTACATTATCAAAATTAAGAATTAAGCTCTATATAATGTTTTAGATTTTGATTGAACTCAATATATTATTAGTTCGAATATTTTTAATTATGTTACATCATAATGCAAGTTCGGTCTAGATATCGGATATTGAAATCTCACATATATTAGAATTCAAAGTAAAAGTTATATATTCATATACATGTCATTCAAATGAATATATCCAAAAAAAAATATTTTAAATATTAGCTCAAAATATTAATATTATCTAAACTAAATTTTAGGTGACCAGGACTATGTGGTCCAATGGTACCCGGGTTGGACTTCCGTTTGGAAGGTTGTGAGTTTGAGCCTCAGTGGAGGCGTTATTAGCTCTTTGTGTTTCAGTAGGTTGAGAAAGTATATGAACAGATACTACAATGTAATAGAGCTAGTAGCATTCAAAAAAAAAAAAAAAATTAGGTGAAAACTAAAAAATTAGAAAACAGAAAACAGAGAACAATTGTGTTCATATGGTTGAATCGTCACTTTCGCCGAAGGAGGGGGGATTCAGACAATATAATTTGGGGGAATTTGAAATAGAGGGTTAATTCTAATTAGTTTTATTATTATTATTATTATTATTTAACTAAGGCTTACATGGATTTTATACTGATTTAACTAAAGTCAACAAATCAGCCCAAGTCAGTTGAAACCGGCGCCATGTCATAGCCATTACTGGATAACCTAAACAAAATGCTAGGTGAAAAAAAAAATAGTTTATGGTTCGAAATGACACTTATTACAGATCATAAAGCGGGATGAATGATCAGGAATGGTTCATGGAGCGGGATGACACCTTAGCCTTTAAATAAACATGTTTACTAATTTATAGTAAAACACTAAGCAAGCCTCTAAGCGTTCATACATCCTTACAACAAGGTTTTGGTCTTTGGATGTTGACTAATTAAGTTTTTGAGTTTTTATTTTTTATTTTTAAATAACTGGATTGATTAGTCCGACAATCTAACTAACTTAGTTATGTGTCTTATCTATTTGTTTGTTTTATTTATTTATTTTCAAGAATAGTCCACTAACTTTTTGGTATTTTCAACACGATTATTATGGTGTAATCAATTATGGATTTTCTGAACTTTTAAATAATTTAAAAATTTGATGATATTAAATTTAGACATTTAAAAAGTCTTTAAAGTCAAGTGGTATTTGATTAAAACTTTTAAAGAGTCAATTCAATTTGTACTCTATTCATACTTTGTAGGTGATGTATTTAATGACTTTTGTCGAGTTTTAAAATATAATGATATATTTTAAAGCCTTTAAAAATTCATTGTTGGTATTCAAAAAGTAGTTGACTTTTTTTGTCTAAACTTTACAATTAATTTCTCCATTTTAAATTCTATAAACTGTTTATTCTTGCCTTTAATTCTACAAATCGTTTATTCTTTCATTTAATTCTACATACTTTTTTTCATGCTTAAACTATGCATTTTTTTTTTCAAAAACTCTACAAACTTTTTTCATGTCTAAACTTATGGGTGGACCATGGTGCAAAATGACGTTGTTTCTTTTAATGAAAAAAAAATGACAATCGTTATACTGTAATAAAACTATATTGTGTATAAAATAAAACTGAATAACATATCTCCTATATTGAGTGCATATTGTCGAGTGAAACAGTTGTTAAACTAGAATTTATGTGGTGTTATAATGAAACTAAAGTGTGTATACAATAAACCGAAAAGCATGTCTTACACATTGAGTGTATATTATATCAAATGAAATTGTAGTTAAATTAGACTGATGCATAGTTGTGTTGTAATGAAACTACAGTGTGTACAAAATGAAATTGAATAGTAGGTCTCACATATTGAGTGTATATTGTCAAATGAAACTGTAGTTGAATAATATTGATACTTTAGTGGTGCTGTAATGAAACTATATTGTGTATAAAATGAGACTAAATTGCATGCCTCGCATATTGAGTGTATATTGTCAAATGATATTGTAGGTGAAATAGAATGATGTTTTAATTGTGTTGTAATGAACGTACATTGTGTATAACATGAAACTAAATAATGAGAGATGTTGCTACATTTATCATAATGGAATTTGTTGTCTACCATTGTAACGGGGAATGAAAAAAAGCAAAGGACATCGTTTTTCTACATGGTCCGTATTGCTATATGGATCACGGTCAGTAAAATTTACTATTTGTCGAGCATGAGGCTTGTTTAAAGGCCTAAGAATAATAAAATTAACATGATTAAAAAAAATTAACTACACAACTACACAAATTCATTACAACACAAGTAAATAATCAAGTTCGCAAATGTTCATAATTAGATACGAACCTACCATGCCCAAACATACTAACTATTACATTAATGCATACAAGTTCATAAAATGACATAACAACTCCATAACAAGCTCAATGCAAATACAATAACTAGTCTAGGATCACAAGAAAACCAACATCATAAGTTCGTAACAATGCATACACAATGAAATCATAAAGTCACACCAACATTCATCAAGGTTTCAATATAATATAATCTTCTTCAAAAAAAAAAAAACTCATACACAGTGAAACAATACATTTAAAATAAATAAATAGAGCCTCAGTTGGAAGATTGTGAGTTTGAGCCTCAGTGGAGGCGTTATTGGTTCTTTGTGTTTCAATAGGTTAAGAAAGTATATGAACAGATACTACATTGTAATAGAGCCAGTAGCATTCAAAAAAAAAAAAAGTAGTAATCTACTATCTACTATCTACTATATCTACTATACTAATAAAAGCCAATAAAGTTAGGTCTATAACGGAAACTAAAGAATATCAGTCAAATGATTTGATGAAATGAATGGTTCATGTTATTTTAATTTTAGTATTTTTTTTTCTATTTTACCCTCTATTATATCATTTGCTTTTTCTAAATAACTCATGCATTTCATCAGTGTAAACTTTAGTAACGGAATATTTCGTTAACTATTTAATTTTCAAGTTCATATTTTTAGAATTATTAGTAGGAATGAGTGTAGAACTTGATTTTGTGTGTGTATGTTTTTTACTTATATAAATAGTGGGCATTAGCTAATTCGCGTAATACGCGTGTAAAACTAATATAAAATAAAATTCTTACATTTTGTTTGTCGTCAAACCATATTTGTTGCGAAACTAATCATGAGTCGAGGCAAACTTAGGCCGAGTCATAGACCCCAACCCATTTCAACCCCTACCTAAACTTTACAAAAATTTTCCCATGCTATATAAACTTTTTTTCTCCCAAATTACGTTTTCTTATTATCGTTTTAATCATCCAAACAAACTAAGGGGGTATTTGGTTGGATGAAAACCTTTTTTCAAGGAAAAAGTTTTCCTTAAACTTAAGGTTCACTATGGAAAACTTTTTTCACATGAAAAAGTTTTCATTAGTTATGAGGAAAACGTTTTCCAAGAAAAAGGAAGGATGTTTTGTGACAACCAAATTTAAAATTTTCCTAATTGTAATACATAACTTTATTTAAAATATATAAAATATATGATATATCATATTTTTTTTTGAAATAAAATTATAATAGAAATTATAAATATCAATATAAGTCAATAAAAATGTGGTAAGGATGTATTCAATTTATAATTTTACTAAGAGTTAATTTCAACAATGGTCCTCCGAGTATGGTGATTTTTCACAATTGGTCATCGACTTTTAATTTGGACAATTTAATCACCTGACTATCAAAATATTTTCAATTGTGGTCCTTCCGTCAGATCTGGTTAAGTGAACATCAATTTGAGGGGTA